CCAAACAACAGAGAAAGACTATATAAATTAACAAAATCAAAAATGAAAAGGGGGGCATAACAACAGACACTGAAGAAATCTAGAGAATCATGAGGTCATACTTCAAAACCTTATATTCCATAAAATTGGAAAATATAAAAGAAATATACAATTTTCTATATAGGTACCATATATCAAAATTAAGTCAAGACCAGATAAACAATTTAAATAGACCTATAACCCCTACGGAAATAGAAGCAGTCATTAAAAGCCTCCCAAACAAAAACAGAAGCAGATGGTATCAGTGCGGAATTCTACCAGATTTTCAAAGAGCTAATACCAAAACTCCTCAAACTGTTCCACACAATAGAAACAGAAGGAACACTGCCAAACTCCTTTTGAGGCTACAGATACCCTGATATCCAACCACATGAAGGTGCAACAAAGAAAGAGAATTACAGACCAATCTCCCTCATGAATATTAAGGAAAAAATAATCAATAAAATACTTGTAAAACGAATCTAAGAACACATCAAAAAAAAAATCATCTGCCATGATCATGAACACCCCAGAGATACAGGGAAGGTTCAACACATAAAAATCCATCAATATAATCCCACCATAAAAACAAACTGAACCATATGATCCCCACATCTCAAAGCCTTTATCAAAATCCAACACCCCTTCATGATAAAAGTCTTGGAGAGAGCAAGGATACAAGGAACATTCCTAAACATAATAAAGGCAATATATAGCAAGCCAACAGCTGACATCAAATTAAATGGAGAGAAACTCACAGCAATTTCACTAAAATCAGGAATAAGGCAAGGCTGTCCACTCTCTCCGGATCTGTTCAATATACTTGCAGGCAGCATTCTCAAAAGTTGTGTCATCTCTCTAGTCTCCTGCCATACCTTTTAAAAACCAAACTTTGTTTTATAGTTTTGAATGTTAAGACCTTTAAGTTAAAACTTTATGACACAAAACTAAAAAGGAATTAAGTTAATCCATTAGATTTAGACATAAAGAATTCTTTTTTTTTTTTTTGGTTGCTTAAGATAGGGTTTTCCTGTGTAGCCTGGACTATCCTGGAACTCGCTCTGTAGACCAGGTTATTCTCAAACTCACAGAGATGCCTCTGCCTCCAAGGGCTAGGTTAAAGGTGTGTGCCACCTCTGCCTAGCCTAAAAGATTCCCTTTTTTTAAAAAGATTTATTTATTTATTTATTTATTTATTATGTATTCAGTGTTCTGCCTGCATGTACCACTGCAGGCCAGAAGAGGGCACCAAATCTCATTACAAAAGGTTGTGAGCACATGTGGTTGCTGGAACTTGAACTCAGGACCTTTGGAAGAGCAGACAAAGGTCTTAACCACTGAGCCATCTCTCCAGCCCCAGCCTAAAGGATTCTTAAAAGGCCCTATTTTACACAGATTTTCAGTTAAAGAAACTGACAACCCAAGACACTTGAATATATTGCAGACCTTCATTTTTATTTAAATATATTCATCTTGAGAGAGACTACACAGCAAATATAAATGTAAACATGCATGTCTACATCAGAATTAAGCCAAATGAATTTTTAGGCACAAGATTTTAAATATCATTAATAAAGGAGACAAGGAATCTAAGACCAAAATAACAGAGGCAACAAAAACACACTTCCTAACACTTCCTACTGGTTAAGGCCTGAGTCTTAGAAAGTCTAAGTTCCTTGCCAAGTGGAAAGATCCACTTTATTGTTCTTAATACATATCTACAAAACAGATTAAATTCTCTTTCAAAATAATGTAATAAATATCACACACACACACACACACACACACACACACACACTAAACCATACTATCAATACAGAAAAGAAAGGACTTTGGAATTTTCAAGTTTCCCTATTACTGCAGCATATCACCCATAGATAAAATTATTCTGCTACAGAAATAAATTACCAGTGGCATTATTACAAATCTCTAGTTTATCTGTATTGCATTTTCCCAAAACTTTTCAAAGGATTGCCATGGCTTCTCTGTAGAACTAGTTTTCCCACCTCACCCAAGTGGCTAACATTGCATAGAACAAATAAAAGGTAATTTAAAAATTCAGTAGGGACTTGCATGGGTAGTTTCAGCTTTGTCTCAATGCCTGGAATGATGGAGAAAGGTCATTTGTCTATCTGTTGCTTTCATTGGTTAATTAACAAAGAAACTGCTTGGCCTTTGATAGGACAGAAAATTAGGTAGGCAGAGTAGACAGAACAGAAGAATGCTGGGAAGACGGGAAGTGAGGCAGACGCTATAGCTCTCCTCTCCAAGATGGATGCAGGTTAAGATCCCTTCTGGTAAGCCACCACCTCATGGTGCTACACTCATTAATAGAAATGGGTTAATCAAGATGTGAGAGTTAGCCAGTAAGAGGCTAGAGCTAATGGGCCAAGCAGTGTTTAAAAGAATACAGTTTCCGTGTAATTATTTCCAGGTATAAAGCTACAGAGTGGCGCTCCAACGTGGTAACTAACACCACGTAAAACCTGAGAGGGCTTAAAAAGGAGAGAGAGAGAATTTAACACAGCTTTTTGCTGTTTGTGGGTGGCAACCTGCAAAGAAATTTCCCTGACTCAGCAGCCATAGCAGGAAAAAAGCTGCTGCAAGTTTAAAACGCAGCTTCCTGGGCTGTGCCGCCAGCGCGAACTCTGGCTATAAAGCATTTCAATGGCTTTTATGAGACTGGATGTTTGTGTTCCCGCTCGGGATCAGGAGGAAAGTAGCTGAGACCATGGCCTTGGCCCAGCTCTTGCTGCCTGGGCAGATGGCAGAATCAGATTTAGGCAGGCTGGAGAGCATGGCGGATTCCTGCTGCCATACAGAGAGATGTTTTCAGACTATGCAGTGTTCTGCATGTCCGATTTGGCTGCAACTTGGATGAAGAGAGTTTCTGTGCCACACGCTCAGTCTCAGAGTTAAAGTGCTGAGTGCGGCTCCTACCTGGTGGCCCCAGAGCTAGTAGAAAATGGTACGTCCTCCATTTTGAAATCGGAGAGAGGTGGAGCCAACAACCAGAGCAGCCCTCCGCTCTGCAGCTCAGAGGCACAAGTGACCCAGAAGCACAAGCAGCTCCGCCATGCTGAACTGTGCTGGTCTCAGGCAGGAACTATCGTAATTATCCTAATAACCGCGCAATTAAGGTTTAGACTGGCAGTAAACAGGTGGTACCGTATTACCTCTACATGGCGCAACTTAAGTTTTTAAGAAGTGCTTAACATTTTAAGAAGTGTTCCTGGATAGTAAAAAATTACAGATTCACAATAGGACAGATTCAGACATAAAAGACCACTAAATGGGTCACAATGTTGGATGAGTGTACGTAGGCTTGAGAGAGAGAAAAAAAAAGATGGAGAGAATAAAAACAAAGGGTAAAGTCTTTAAAGAGACAGAGTACAGATAGTTATAGATTAAAAGAAATAAAAGAAAAATAAGCCACGTAAAAATGGAAAATTCACAGAGAGTCTGGATTATGTACATTGTGTTTTCTTTAAAATTTTTGACTGTAAAGGAGCTAAGTACAAGGAGACATTTCATTATATGGGCTACCAAGCTAGACCAGAATGGATATCATAAGGGTATGACTTCAGAATTTGGACCGAAGGATATGATGCTTTGGAGAGGGTCTTCTTTTGTTTTCACAGAGGATGAGACCCTGTGGATTGCTTCTATCCCAATTTGGTATGATAGACCACGCCCTCCTGAAAGGTTGCTATGAACACCCTCAAAAAAATTACTTCATTCAACTGCCAACTGAGATGAACCTGGCACACAGGTTACACCATAAAAGACCTGATTAACAGCGCCCCCATACAGCAGGAAGCAGTTTGGAGAAAAAACTGTGTCCATGTTCCCAAATACTGTTTATAAATGTTCTTTTACATTTAAAAGGGGATATGATATAGATATGAATAATCTACATTGGTATAAATTTTACTTTATTGGTATTAAGGTCAATTTTGTTATATGTATATGTATTTCTGATCTTTATTAAGGTATTGTGATTGTGTAGTTCATTTAAAAATGTAATGTATAATCAGGAAATATAGGTTGTTAATGAATAATCATCGATAATAGTCAAGCATGTAGTCATGTAGACATTCTTCATGTCATTCAAAGACTGCAGAATATGACATTTAATGTTTTAATAACTTAGGGCTTTTCATGACAATGAGACACGTCTGCTCCTGGCAGCACCAATCTACTTCAAGAGAAAGATGGACTTCGAAGAGGATCCTTACGGAGTTGGTTAGCCATTTGGACACGAAACTGCTTTTGCCTGGACTGATGCATAACTGGACACAGAGAACCTTCAGAGAGAGGACTGCTGAACTTGCCTAAAGGTGAGATGGTCTTGCGGGGTTCCTGCTTCATAAAAGAATTCGCGAAACATTCTGCAGGACACAGCAGATAGTGACTGAACTGTCTTTGAAATTTCCTGCTTCATGAAAATATCTGCTGGATACTATGGGCCTATAGGCCGAAGATGGATGCCCCAACGGTACAGAGGAACTTTGGGTAATTGTCCAGGCAGCAAGATGTCTCTGTCATTTCTAGATTTTTGAAAGTTGCTTATTTCTTGTTTACTTAGGTAATATTATATCCTTTTTTCCTTCTGGAGTCTTTGATGGAGTTGAAGAATGGATAGTTATAGTTTTCCTTAGTTATGATACAAGATAAAATAGATATAAATATTGTAACTGCAATTCTTGCTTGATAACTGTTTTGTTATATGTAATTTTACTATGTTAAAGTAAAAGCCTTTTTTTTTGTTTAAACAGAAAAAGGGGAAATGATGGAGAAAGGTCATTTGTCTATCTGTTGCTTTCATTGGTTAATTAATAAAGAAACTGCTTGGCCTTTGATAGGACAGAAAATTAGGTAGGCAGAGTAGACAGAACAGAATGCTGGGAAGAAGTGAGGCAGACGCTATAGCTCTCCTCTCCAAGATGGATGCAGGTTAAGATCCCTTCTGGTAAGCCACCACCTCGTGGTGCTACACTCATTAATAGAAATGGGTTAATCAAGATGTGAGAGTTAGCCAGTAAGAGGCTAGAGCTAATGGGCCAAGCAGTGTTTAAAAGAATACAGTTTCTGTGTAATTATTTCCGGGTATAAAGCTACACTGGAATGTTTCCCCTATGCTTATTCTCAATCCTTAACTAGTTAGTTCTCTCAGCCTCTTGCCCTCTAAGCTAGGAGCACATGCATGTCTACTTCTGTACTTTTGAGGTGCTCATACCAACCAGAAACCAGGTAGGAGAAAGGCAATTTGTATGCACATTAGGACATACCCCATAGGTGGGAAGACCTGAAGAGTTGGTGAAGATGGTACCTGAGGAGTCTGGAGAAGGTTGAGTGGGTGAAGAGGAGGGAACAGCAAAGGCACAGAGACAGGAAGGAAGTCACTCAGTTGGCACAAGGATACCCCTGAGAAGTCATCATTGTCATCATCAATGTAAGAGGCAAGAGTCTGGATTTTCAAAAATGGTTTTTGTTGGTTTTTTTGTTTGTTTGTTTTTGTTTTGCTTTTTACTAAGGAAGGGAAAGGAGATGGGAGCACTGAAGGACTGTGCAGAGAGCACAGACTGGAGCCAACAAAAGCATGTGGTGCTGGATAGGCCGGGTGACATGGAGTCTGACTGACCAAGCCCAGTGCCACATGCAGGCACTTCCTATAGAAACAGTCACTGGCCAGCATACCCACACACAGTTCTGTCTACAGAAACCAAGGCTTTAGAGAAGGGCAGAGCAAGGGGAGACCTACATAGCATTTTTAGTTCAAGTTCCTGGAACCTGCCCCAGTGTAAGCAGGCAAAGAACAGTAAGACAATTCAGTTCCCAGATCCAGGGACAATTCAAGCCACCCAATCAGAACCTGCACCTTCCCTGAGCTGCCATTACCAAAGAATTATAAAGCAATTATCAGCTTGCTATAAGGAGGTTCCCACCTGCCATGGAGATTCACCGAGCATCGCCCCAGAGGCTGAGACCCCAGCACAAGGTACTTGGGCAGAATGGTGTACATGTGCTGCTGGGCAATGGCTTCTATCCTACCTCAGCTCACTGCAATCTGAGGATCAAACAGTTAGGATCGTACCTATATGGTATGAGTCTAACCTAAGTCCCACCATGGACCATTCATTTCCTTTCTAGGTCCACAACACCTCCCTCCACTAGCTCAGGAGAAAGGCTTATGTGAGTGGAGGAAAACCCAAGGTAAAAAGAACATTAGTATTATCTGAAAGACAGGAATTTCCTAGGATATATTCATTCTAACTACATCTACTGTGAGATGGGTGGCAACGTACAAGTCACCACACACTTCCTCAGTATGGAAAATTGACTCGTGACCAGTTTCCAGCAAGAACAGTTATTTGGAAATGGCACACTGCAAAAGGCAATCTTGTGATTCTCTTCTATGAAAATACCAATTGGTCTGGGAGTCAGGCACAAAAGCATAGAGAGCTCAAGAAGAGTGTTTCATACGGCAGAACTCCTATCTGGACTCTGGAGGCTTGCAGCTGGCCAATCTGCTCAGAGGGTTCCCCACTACACCCCTCCTTGATTCCTATCCTCCGCTAACAGCCACAGGATTTAGAATACCTGAGGATGGATCCATGTGAACCCAGAAGTCTCAGATGAGCTGAGGATGTGCGTCAGCGTGGCAGCTGCTGCTCACTCCGCCTCACATACACGGGAATTGCCTGAGTCTGAATCCGAGCTGAATGGCAGCAATGCTTTTGTCTTTGGAATCTGACAGAAACGTCTGTGCAGAAAAGTCTGACGCCAGCAAGTGTAATTCAAAGAAGTAGCGAGCAAGCGTACACCTGAGACAGGTGACTGGACATTCCCTGCAGTGTGCTTTCCTTTCCTAGCTGCGCTGGGTCGAGCAACTGGATTTCTAGCACACACACCCACAACCACACACCCACACATACCCACACACACACTAATTGACCCAAAGACTCTGCCAAGGTCTACTTCTATGGTCTTATCAAACTGGGTCACACAAAACTTCCTTACCACTTCATGTCAAACATGGAAAGTGGTCTTAACATATTTCTATGACACAGTTTGAGGATCTCCTTTCTTTCCATAACCCTCAAAGACTTTTATTTTACTGGTACAGACTGCCTGGCCAAACTGATGGCTGCTGAATTACTGGCCTGGTGAGGACAGGGGCCTTGAGGGCCTGAGATCAGGGTGCAATGGCCTGTTTTTCATTAATAATGTTAACCACGTGGAAACAGAATTCCATTCATTCTCCTATAGATCTACTTAAACTCTGAAACAAGAGATTGTTCAAGAATTATGTGAGAAAATCACCCACCACCACCAAGTCAAAAACTGAGTGTCTGCATGCTCTCAGGCCTTAACTCCTCCTACAGGCCCTGCTGTGCAACATCCTCCTGTGGCGTGGAATCCTGGCAGAAGTCGCTGGGTCTTGCAGCATGTCCACGTACCGGAAGCAGATTTCAAAAGCCTGGAGCTAGTCATCACTGTCACTGCCAGACTCACTTAACTGCAAGTCATTTCCTACGAAAGAAAACAAAATGAAGCTAAGAGCATAGCAGTTAATAACTTTTCTGGCCCCTCTGCCTTCTTCACTTCCCTCTGCTCTGCCTAGAGTGTAGCTCTTTATACTTTAATATGCTTATATTTCTCCTTCACTTAAAACATCAAGACTTCTTTAAAATTCTTTGGCTGGCTGCTCAGCTATCACATAATACTAAAAGTTTCCAAATCGGGACTGGAGAGATGGTTCAATGGTTAAGAGCATTTGTTGCTCTTGCAGAGGACCCAGGTTTGATTCCTGATACCCAAATGGTGGCTCACAACTACCTATAGCTCCAGTTCCAAGGGCATCAAACATGCACATAGCATTAACACATACAAGCAGGCAAAACATATACACAAAATAAAAAGAATAAATCTAATTTAAAAACAAAATAAATACCAAAAAAACTTTGTTAATCCAATTTATAAGGCAGGAAAACCAATCTGGCTCACTGAAAAGGCTGGAGCAGTTGACATTCTAAAAGAAACACTCTTTTTAGGATGTACAAAGCAGTTTGGTACTGCTTATTAGTACTGAGAAGGAGCAGCAAGACGGTTTTAAATGTGCTAAGAAAATAGAAATAACACACAGCATCTGGCAGACTCATTCACATTAAGTTGCTTTATAATTATTTTATTTTATGTATATGAGTGTTTGGCCAGCATTCATGTCTATATACCATGTGGGTACCTGGTACCCTTGGAGGTCAGAAGAGGGCATTGGATCCCCTGGAACTGGAGCTATAGGTGGTTGTGAACTAGCATGTGTATGCCAGGAATCAAACCCAGGTTGTCTGCAAGAACAAGTGCTCTTAACCCTAAGCCATCTTAGCAGCTTCATAAAATTGTTTTAGGAAAAACTAAGAGCCAGGTGTGGTGGTTCATGCCCATTATCCCACTACCAAGGAGGCTGCAGCAGGAAGAGCACGAATCCAAGCCCCAGGTGTGGTGGCTCATGCCCATAACCACAGTACCAAGAAGGCTCTGGCAGGAAGATCAAATTAAATTCAACCTCCCTAACTCCCCACCCGACTTTCAAAAAAGTTAAGTAAACAAGATGTTTCCATTATGGAAGCTGAGAGCCATAGCATGCTAATCCAGTGTCACCTCTGCCTACCTCTGACCAGGATATTTCTATTTCTTTAAGAGAAAGCTCCAGATTCTTAGATGGTATGTAGGTATCTAGAATTCAAAAGGACTCAATACTTCAAGTTCACATAACAGAAATGTATATAAAAGAACTTTAGCTGACGGCAGTTGAATGAAAGTGAACGTCCATATTTCTTAAGTTTAAATCAGCTTTTTCTGTCTCTGGACTCAGCACCCTTGCAGAGGGCCCAGCATCATCCCTAAGGACTTCCTTTTTTGGCTGTGTGAGGACAGACTTCTTACCTGGACCTCAACTTACACAGACGACAGGGCACACCAACCAGGCAAAATGCTGAGGTGTTTTAGGTGAAGGCCAGACACTACACACCCAACAAGGCCTGCAGAAAGGAACTACCCATCCTGGAATGTCCACAGTGTTGAAACTAATGTCTGCTTGGGCCACATTGCAGGGTTAATCAGGTCTGCATCCCACCTCTGCTGCTAGGCCTTCTAACTTCATCATGCAAGGTTCCAAAAAGGGAGTGAGTGAAGGAGGGAGGGAGGAAGAGAGAGGGAGAGAGGGAGAGGGAGAGAGAGAGAGAACACAGAATCGCCCCACTCTGAAACAAAGCCAATATTTATGGCTTTTCTGTTACCTTATCAACTGCTGGAAATATACCCAAGCATGACAATATCCTGTCTTTTCTCTTGCCAAAGGCTACCTAAATAGAGGTAATGGGTTAACTTTTAAAAGCCAGCTGTAGGCAGACCATATCTTAAACCTGGTGTATGGAAAACCAAAGAGCGTACAATCAAGTTTAAGCATTTTGTAGAAGTCACAGCCACAAGTAAAGGGTAAAAAGAAAGAAAAGATTGTGAATTTGGGGTCCTTGTCAAGAACCTTCCCTATGCCCTAAATGCCTATAAATATAGGTTCTGGCACAGGGCAACAGAAGCTGCATATGGTGTGCCCTGTCTCAGCCACTAAAGGAGGACACACTTACTGAGCGTATTCATCAGCTGAGAGCTTCCTTGGGGCCGGCTGGTTCCATTGGCCACTGTGGGCCTGCTGTTGTAGGACTGCTGGTGTGAAGGCTGGGGAGGAGAGGCTGGGCCGTTGTCCTCTCCTCCGCTGCTGGAGCTGTCGTCATCACTCCCAGAGGAGCTCTCAGAGTCAGAGGAACTGCTCCCACTGCTGCTGCTCATCTGCTCGATGATGTCGACCTCAGCCCGCAGCTCTGCAACGACACCAGGGCATCAGTACCACCCCGCTCTGAGATGACAGGAAGTGTCTAGGAACAGTGAGCTGACAAGACCAACACCAGAGAGGGACTTCGATCTTCCGTTTCTGGAGTACAACACAATGAACCTCCAAACTGACAACAATACCTACTCCATTTTGGGGCTGATGGGAACACTGAATTCATCAAAATGAACAAAAGGCAGAGCTGCTACAGAATGTCTCTTCTGTGTAAGGCACATCAGGGTTATTACTCCCTTAAATACAGACCCTGATTTGGGTGTGGTGTGTGCCCATAGCCAGTGGAGTCAGGAGAGCTTGAGTTTGGGACCAGCCTGGGCTACAGAGCAAGACTTTTTCCACAGACAAGCAGACAAATGGGAGTTATCATCTAAAACTCCAGCTGAGAGAGAAGAAAAACACTTACCAAGCAGTGGCAAGTCAGAGGGCTTATTTTAGATCCAATCTCAGTTTCTCTTTCTGTCACTGTGACATAGCGAGGATTTATTCCAGCTCCCAGCTATCAGTGAAGTCACAATGCAGGAGCCTGAGGCACTGAGTCACTCTGCACCCAGTCACATGCAGAGAGCAACAGAAGCCTGTGTTTGCACTTTCTCTTCCTCTATAGTCGGTGATCAAATCCGATGGTGCCTGGTGCCCAGGTGTTCCTACCTCTAATCTAGACAATCCCCCAGGGCCATGCCCAGAGGCTAAATAACCCCTCACCGGAGTGCCTAGAGGCTTGTCCCTAAGTGATTTATTTCAGAGCCTGACAACTTGACAGTTAACACTAAACATCACAACTGCTGACTAGGAGTGAGGCCCATGTCAATGGATTTCCTCAGCCACTAAGGAAAAGAGACAACTGGCCAGCCTGTGTGAGCCTGAGACCTTTCTGACTCCCATGGACGCCTGTAAGGAAGACCCTGGCAAGGGGGGCATGGTGTGGGACAATTCTACATTCTGTCAATTATGTTTTAAATAAATGTTCATTGGCCAGTAGCCAGGCAGAAAGTATAGGCAGGGCAACCAGACAGGAAGTAGAGATAAGGCAATGAGAACGGAGTATTCTAGGAAGAAGGGAACTCTCTCCCAAGTCCTGTCCAGACACTGAGGAAGCAGGATGTGACCTGCCCCCCTGAAAAAGGTATTGATCCATGTGGCTAACATAGATAAGAATAATGGGTTAATATAAATTGTAAGAGCTAATACGAAGCCTGAGCTAATGGACCAATCAGTTTTATCATTAATATAGACTTCTGTGTATTTTTTTGGGGATTTACCAGCTGTGGGAACTGGGCAGGACAGAAACCCCAACAAGGAGGCCCTCATGTTACAGAATGGCGCCCAACGTGTGGACAGCTGCATCCACATAAAGTCTGAAATAGCCTGGGAAGTAATTCTAGAAGAAAATAACAGCATTACGCATGGTTTCTTGGTAGCAGCAATTTCTCAGATCTGCTCTGCTTGCTAGAGGCAAGCAAGGGCTCTCATCTAAGAGAGGCTTCCTGACTCAGCTTTAGCTGTAAAGCCTTGCAGCTCTTTTAAGAGGTCCTGCCAAGAAACACTTAAATAGTGTTGATAAAAAGCTGACCGCATACTTTTCAGTTTTCAGCTGTAGCAGGAAAAAAAGCTGTGCCATTTTAAAATGCCAGCTTTCTGGGCCATCCTGTCAGGGCAAACTGACTCTTTCAGGCAGGCGGTCTGACTACAGAGCATTTGAGTGTGGTTTGTGCGCATACTGCTGCAGCTTACTTGCTGGCAGGGACCTTGAAATGCCATAGAGTTATGGCAATAAACATGGCTCCTGCCGGTACCTCAGCCATGAGGCTGGAATCTCATAAAGCTAAGGAATGGGGTGGATTCAGCCATCAAAGCCACAGCTTTAATCCTATCCATATTGCTTGGTAAATTAAAGACTTGTGCAGTCAGAAAAAGAGAGATATACAGTAAGGAAAGATTCAAAGAAAAAAAACCTCTAAATGTTTTACTGTATGTTAAAAATATATGCTGGCTTGGGAGAGAAAAGAAAAAGGATTAAGTCCTTAAAATAAAAAAGAAAGAGAATAGTTGAGTGTGGTGGTACACACCATTAATCCCAACACTTGGGAGGCAGAGCGAGACGGATCTCTATAAATTCAAGGTATGGTGGCACATGCCTTTAATCCCAATGCCTGGGAGGCAGAGGCAGACAGATCTCTGTGAGTTCAAGGTGTGGTAGCACACACCTTTAATCCCAACACTTGGGAGGCAGTGGCAGGTGGATCCCTGTGAGTTCAAAGATAGCCTGGTCTACAGAGGGAGTTCCAGGACAGCCAGAGATATAGAAAGAACCTGTCTCAAAAAGTAAAAGTAAAAATAAAAGAAATAGATGTTAAAGTAACGTCACATAAAGGTGGAAAATACACAGCGAATCTGGATACTGTATGTTATATTTGCGTACATTAGTATGTGAGTTCAGAGAGCTCAGAATCTATACACTGAGAATATTCTTTCCAGGAGTCTAAAGCCCTGGATAGCTCTGGCTTTAGCCCTGGATAGTAGTGCTTACTTAGCCCCTAAGCCTCTAAGAATGCTGCCAAGACAATCCCACTCAACCCGAACTCATTCTTGTCAAATGATGCATGGGAAAATGTCAGCCCTCAGCAGCTCCAGAGCCAGGAGCTCTGGTGACACATCTATAAGGTAGTATGAACTCTGTGAGCTTCTTGAGAACCCTGTGCCTGACTGCATGCACTAGCCCAGTGCTCTTACCTCTTTTGATGTCATCCAGCTGGGGCTCAGGTGAGGGCGTATCCTTTAAGGGAGATGTTTTGGGTCCAGCTGGAGGCTTCGTTGGGGCTCGGAATGGTATGGGTGGTGGAGGAGGAGGTAGCTGTGATGGCTGTGGGGGACGAGCAGGCTGTTGTTCCATTCGGGCTTGGATTTTACTGCTCCCCTCGGCTCTGAAATAGACATTAAATCAAGAGGCAAAATAGTTTCTCTCCTGATGACCAAGCACACAGGCAGTGTCTGCAGAACCAGTGTTCTTTCCGGGTGACTATAAATCTGATCTTTATGACTTCATGAAAAAGCACTCAACAACCACATGGCTACTGCATCCTAGAACTGTACTAAGCATCGGCAATTCAAAATAATGAAATGACCCTCTGCTTCCAAGGAGCATACATTTTTTCCTTTCTGAGTCAGGGTCTAACTGTACTCTGGGACAGCCTCAGCCTTCCAAGAGATGAGATTATAGATGTGCCACATCCAATATAAGTTCAGCAAGGAGATAAAACACAGATATAGTGTGATTAAATGTGTTTATAAGAAAATATCACAATATGACTTAAATTCAATATACAGTTGTAATAATAAAGTTTCTGAATAAACTAGATTTTGAAATGTTGGCAGCTTGCAAAATTTTCCATTATTTCCATTATCTACTTCCAAGTGAGAAATTTTACTCATTAATAATTCCTCCTGCTCCTCTCATACATGCTGTGATTGTTTGTGGGAGCCCGGTGTATGTGGGACTCCTAACAGTGGAGTGGGGGTGTCTCCAACTCTTTTGCTTGCCCTTGGAGCTCTCTTCCTCCTACTGGGTTGCCTCATCCAGCCTGGATTAAGAGGGTTTGGCCTAATCTTATTGCACCTTGGTATGCTATGTTCTGTAGATACCAATGGGAGGCCTGCTCTTTTCTGAAGGGAAATGGAGGCACAGTAGACCTGGTCAGGGGAAAGCTGGGAGAAACTACAGTTGAGATGTATTGTTGAGAGAAGAATTAAAAGAGAAATCAAAATGCTCAGAAATGACTAGATGAAAAAATATATACTGTTCAATAACCAATAAAAGGTGTCTGTATACTAAAAAAGTAATAATTTCTTCTGCAAATGAAATAGCCCAGTGCTTTTCAACTTTAGCATCTGCACAAATCCCCTGAGATCTCTGCAGGTTCTGACCTAGTAGGTCTTGCTATTCTGAGAGTATAACAAGTACCCAGGAGGGATGCTGCTAGTTCCCAGACCACAGAGTAGTAAGGGAACAGAGCACCACTGGTAGCACAGGAACAGCAGGTTTACCGTAGGCCTTGATACAAGACAAAGGGGCAGGACAGAAACAGGCACTACAGCCTCATCCCCTAGGGTGAGGTCTCATCTCTAACAGTCAAATTAGGTAAATCACAACTTCTGCAAAGCCCAGGCGCATCCCCTGCCTCAAAGAAACAATAATCCAGAAATTACTGGTAAAGACTAGGTACCACACCTAAAACATCCGGCGTATGGCCCATGATAATCTCAATGAGTGGGAGCTTTTCCTTTTCTGGTAAAATGAGTGAAAGAAATCTGGCTCAGGGAAGCAGAAACAGACATCAGGCTGCAATAGCTCTCAAAACTTAATTAGCGGACTTGTGATTTAGCTCAGTGGTAAGAGCACTTGCCTACCATGTGCAAAGCTCTGGATCTGATGCCCAGTACCCCATCCCACCCCCACAGAACCCGTAATCACTATCTTACAATGAATACTCTATTCCAGGGTCTTTATATAATAAATTGATGTCCAGACAAACTCTAATGTTGAATGACCTACTAAGAAAGTTCACTATTTAAAAAATTAAGAAACATTTTGTTTTATTTTAAAATTTTTAAGTTATATTTCTATCCGTGTGGGTCCTGAGGACTCATCTCAGGTCGTCAGAGTTGGTGGCTAACATCTTTACCCACACTAAGCAATCTTGTAAGCCCATGTTCTGTCACTGCTGTTGTTGTCTTGAGACAAGGTTTTATGTAACTAAGACTAGCCTCAAACTCACTATGTAGCTGCCAATAGCCGTGGCTTCTTCATCCTGCTGCCTGCAACTCTCAAATGCTAGGCTTACAAGTGTGACCCCCATAGTCGGTTAGAGTTAGCAAGGGTTTATCTGACAATATAACCACCTCAAAACATCCCAGTTTATAAGCAACAATTCACTCTAAAAAGGTTATACAATTGTTATTTTGTAATTTTAAGTATATACGTATAAATCAAATTCCCTACTTGACAGCATAAGAGCAATTATGAGATTGACAAAATTGGCTCAATTATAAGTACCTTGTTTTCCCCAATGACTTCATGTTTCGGCTCTTAAATGCGTTATTTACTGCATTGAGAGAAATGTGCATTTCTGTCTGAGACAGAAGTAGCTAACATTACTGATGGGACACTATCAACAAGCAGATGTTGGCACCTTTATAAAATTGGACTAAATACCAAAGATTTAGAAACGTTTAAGGATATCCTTCAGGACAGCACCTGCTGGCACACATGATCCCCACAGTGCAAGAGAAAGGGAGGGCACAGAAGTCAGCCATACCTCGTCTTCTTGACCTGAATGCTGCTGCTGAGCTTCTCCAGCACATACTCTCCGGTGTCATGATTGATAATGAGCACACAATCTTTCTGATAAGGCCGTTTGTTCCCTTTGAACACGGTCATTGGTGGTGTGGACCCCTGTTTGCCACAAAAGTATAAACACACCAGTTATGAACAGCCTACCTTTACAAAGGACACTGTCTCATCCACCCTTCATCAGAGCTACTCAAAAAGAACAAATGGCAGCCAGGCGTGGTAACACGGGCCTTTAATCCCAGCACTAGGCGGGGGAGGCTGAGGCAGGGGGATCTCTGTGAGTTCAAGGCCAGAGTGGTCTACAAAGCAAGTTCCAGAACAGCCAGGGCTGTTAAAACAGAGAAACCCTGTCTTGGAAAAATAAATAAATAAATAAATAAATAAAAGCTCCTTTAATAAAAAATAAAAGAAAGAAAAAGAACAAATGACCAGTCTCTGTCGAGGCAAAAGGAACAATTAGAACCTAGCAAGCATCTGATTTTAGGTAATCACGAATGTATCATAAAAGTTTTAGGTTATAAGGCACATTTTTAAGGGTGTGGGAAATGTTTCAAGAATAATGCTACATGGACTAAGAACAATAAACTTTTCTCTACACGTAACTATCACTGTAACTGGTTAAACTAGTGAGTGATCTGTATTCCTTTGCAATTGAAGAGTCCAGGGTTTCTGCATCATGCAAAGGACCAACATAGCATTCTCCAATGGTAGCCAGTAAACCTGGTAAGCAGAAATTAACCCAAGCTAGTCATCTAAGCAAGCCTTTCAACTGCTCCCCTGTTGCTCTAGGACCAAAGGGTACCATCTTTAAGGTGGCCCCTGGCTCCACCCATCCCACAGCGCTATGATTTTCAGAAAACAAGGAGCTCTTGTTCCTGCCTCAGGGCTTTAACTGGGCTTCTGCCTGCTATACCGTGACACTCCTGTCTAAATTCGTCAACTTTCTGCTAAGTCCAAAGATGAGCTAGCTTTCCACAACAAGTACTTGTTTTGGAGACAGGGTCCCAAGCAGCCCAGGCTGGCCTTGTACTCTCAATCATCTTGCTTCCACCTTTCAAATGCTGGGATTACAGGAGAGCATCACATCCAGCAATGGCTATACGTTCCCATTTAATTCCGGACCCCAAGCTGCACAAAGGCAAGAAATTTACTTGTTTAAAGTTCAATTCTTAGAGCCTAGGAATGGACTAGTACCCTGAACATCCATTCACTATTTGTCAGACATAAGATTTAATTTCTTGCTTAGGAAAAAAAAAATGCTTGGCTCTTCAACCCCTTATTTTTGCAATAAAAATTTAGGTTTGAAAGGGAGCTTAGGGACCATTTACCCAACCCCTTCATTTTTCATTTGGGAAACTAAGGTCCAATGGGAGATGATGTAACCTGCCACAGTAACATGCAAGAAAAGAGGAGTCTGCATGAACAGGCTGTTGTTTTTCCTCAGCTCAGAGGTATACAGGCCATTCTGTCAACAGTTACACAGAGCCTACTGTATTTGAGGACACAGCTGTGGAATGTGCTAAGAACCTCTTCTGTTTTAACTTGTTTGTTTGCATGTGTGTGCAGGGTCTTACATGTGTACTTGTTTCCTTGTGTGGGGGCAGATTGTGTGTGCATACAACCCCTGGAGGCTCTTCCTCAACTGCTCTACACTTTCCTTTGCTGAGGCAGGGTCTCTTGCTGAACCCCACTAAGTCGAGCTTGCCACCATGCCCCAGGGATATCTGTCCCTACTTCTGTAAATGTGGGACCATGGGCAGCTGCCATGTTTTCCATGCTTTCTACATGGATTCTGAGGACCCAACTCCAGTCCTCAGGTTTGTGCCCTTTATTCTGGGCCATCTTCCCAGGCCAAAGCACTGTTAACACACACTTCAGTTACGGTTTCTTTCTGTTTTTCCTTTGGCTGAGGATTGAACCTAGGACCTCATCATGCAAAGCAAGTCCTCTCCCACTGAGCTACAGCTACAGATCCAAAGTGCTGCCCTGAAAAGAGCTTTACAAAATCTTTTCTTCCAAGTCCCTGGTGCAGCTTTTAACTGAGTTCTTCATCCTTAAATTAGCAATGTTCCAAACCTTTAGTTACTGCCTGGGACCATCAGCCTGCACGGGACCCTTACCATATATAAATTTGCCCCTCTGGCTCCTACCTGCCTTCTGGCTGCCTGTTCAGAAGTTGCTATGGTTACACATGGCACATGGGGCCTTTCTCTCCAGAACAGTATGGGAGAAACTCTATGTATGTCTAGCAGAGGGGCCACTGTCCAGATGGAAGCCCACCTACTAAACTGCATGCTCGGGAGAGGGGGGCTCAGGAACAAGGGCAAAGAGCTACCTTAAACCAAGTCCCATGACACGAGTTACTACCCACCCAACCCCTAAATTCCAATTTTACTTACATTGACTTTTTAAAAATCTAAATAAATAAATAAATAAACAGAAGGAAATTCAAACTAAATAAAATACAAGGATTCATTATACGAAGTCAACGATGGGAACAACTCACAGGAATGTGTGGCAGTGTGATTGTGACTTCATCTCCTTTGCCCACCTGGAGCTCTCCTTCACAGGAAGTGTCTATCGATGCTGGCTTAAAATCATCTAAAGGAAAGAAAGAATATTTCCCATTGGGGGACTGAATATAAGGGCTTCTGGGGCATTTTAATTTCAAATTAAAAATTGTATTACTTAAATAAAAATTGTTGAGGATTCTTTCATGGATGTATGTATGTTCCTGTATGTACATGAGTACATATATCTGTAGGATTTTAGTCTCTCAGGTACTGTTAGTCTTTTTGTTATTGTGGTTTTTTTTTTTTTTTTTTTTTGGTTGGTTTTGGTTTTTCAAGACAGGGTTTCTCTGAGTAGCCCTGGCAGTCCTGAAGCTGCTCTGGAGGCCAGGCTGGCCGTGAACTCACAGAGATCTGACTGCCTCTGCCTCCTGAGGGCTAGGATTAAAGGCGTGCGCCACCACTGCGGTTGTCTTGTTCTGAGACAGTCTCTCATTGGCCTGGAACTCACAGAGTAAGTGAGGCCAGCCAAGTCACCCGTGATCCTTCTGTCTCGATGTCCCCAGCACTGGGATGACAGCTGTTTACTACCACACTGTGACACTTTTATGTGGGTTCTAGAAATCCAAATCAGAGACCCATCCGTTCATAGGAAGCATTTCATAAACTAAGCCAACTGCCCAGCCCCATCATTTAAAATTCTTAAAAAAAAAAAAAGAAAAAATTACAACATAGAAAACTTTATATATGCTGAAGTATAGAGACTAGAACAATGAGCCCAAAAATATCGCCATCCAATTCAAGAATTACCAAGTCAGGAACACCTACCTCTACATATGTTGCCTTTAATGACATTATTATTTTAGTGTAGGGAGCTGGAACTCATACACTCTTATGTTAATGTAAGATATTCCCATATTCCAAGAGAGAGCTAACAGCTAACATCTATCTTCCATAACACGGGAATTATTACAACTGTGTGCACAGAAGCCACAGAGCAAACATTCTGGCTGCAAATCGACATGAGACACAGGAGGCCACACGAGGCTGACTTCTTTCTGCACAGAAATGGTCAAAAGTAGAACCTGCCACACTCAAGCTTTCTCATTTTGAAAAAGATACTTCTGGATATATTCAGAAGTAGACGGGCGAACTCCAGAAGTTATCTTTCTTATTCTTACAAATGACACAATCGGAAGAGCCATTTTACTTCCTGTTACCACACCTGCCTCACACTTCAGGCCAGGCACACATGTGCAGATTCTCACTTATCGTACTGCCCCTCAGTGGAGAGGGAAAAAACGATAGTCTTATCACTTCCCCAGTATTGCTTCGTTCAAACAGCTGGCTCCGCTGTCAGAGGGAAGCACAGAAACGGCATGACAAGGGGCCACACAAAGATGAGACTTTTGTATCTAACACGCCACACACCCTCTTCCGATGTGTTGAGTCACATCTATTAGCTCCCGTGACGGAGCATGTCTTAAGTGGTGCTAACGCTACCGGAAACCAGAAGCCTGTGAATCAGAGAGGGGTGTGCTCGGTCAGCCGAATCTTTACTCAGGACAGTGGAAGTAGCCCTCTGAGAGTCTATAATCATGTAGGAAAAGGCCCGACATAATGACTATTTCCATATTCCTTACGCTGCTGTCTTCATTTTCCAAACATAGATCAAGCTTTAACTTATGCCAGGTCCACAAACTCGAATTTTATTCTTCCCCCACAAGTGAGTTGGCCCATAGGGTGGTGTAGGTGACTTGAAGACGTTAACGTCAGCTAGGCATGGTAGGTCAGGGCCATAATTTAGGCACTACAGAGACTGAGGCAGGCCTACAGCATGTTCAGGACAGGCCTGATATATACAGTGAGTTCTAGGCCAGCAGAGCCTACATTAAGACAGTCTCAACCAACAACAAAATGTGTCAAAAGAAGCACAGAAAGAGGAAGAGAAAAATCTCATGGGTGCTACAAAGAATGCAGATTCCCTAGATGTGGATGGGGACCAAGAGCCCCAAGGGAAAAGGAAAAGAATGGTGCAGAAGGGAGTAAATGACGCTCGTGGCAAACGAGAAGTCTTTTCCAGGGCGTCAGTCCTGATGGAGTAATTCGACAAAGGGGACACAGGAGAAGAAAGGGGCCTCGTTCCAAAGGAGTAAAGTTTGGCTTAAGGACTGTACGGTAAAGGAATAGTTAGTTGGCAGCAGTCAGAGATTTGGTTTGAGAGGAGCCATCTGAAAATAAAAGAACAGATCGAAGTCCCAGAGGATCTGGGGTGAGAGATAAGAAAAGAGACGCTTTGGAGAGCCGAGGTTGGCCAGGAGGGAGTCGGAGCTGGCACGTGGTGGTCAGAGAGGCAGAAGGGAACACGGGAAGGGCTCACTTACAGCGAATAGTGTGGAAGGAGGCCCGCGGTCGTTTCTCGAAGCTCTCCCCCAGCCGCAGGCAGTGCTCCTCGCGATCCAGCAGCGGGTTCGCCGTGCCGTTCATGGCCTTGCAACTGGCTGGCACCGGGGTCGGCGCTCTCCTCGCGCGGCCGCAGTCCCAGATCCCCGCGCAAGCGGCCCGCAGGACCTCGCTCCCGGGACACAGTTCCGGAGCGCGCACTGAGCCAAGTCCGCGCCCACTGGGGGCCGGAAACCAGTCTCCACCGCGTCCAGAGAGACTCTGAGGAAGTACTGCCGCTGCGCTTCCGGCGGCGGGGAGGGACTTCCGGCTCCCCAGCGGAAATAGCGGGGGGAGTGCCATGGGCAGAGAGAACTTCAATGGGCGCTCCTGGGCAGTAGCTGCCCTCGTCTCAGGAGGTTAACACCTCAGTTGGGAGATTCGACAGACAGGTGAGTGCGCCCTGGCCTGTCCTTTGCTGGTAACCCTGTGAATTGATGGCCGGGCGCCCCGAGCGAGGGGAGTGGGTGCATGCGAGGCTGAGCGTTGATTCCGACGACCCCAGACGTGCCCTAGACCCTTGCGGCCTGGTTTATCCTGAGGGTCCCGAAAGAGATGACGGATCTGGGAACTCAGCGACCCGTCCCTCGGTCCTTCCTACTCCGCTCCATGGCTGCGGTGTGAGGGTTTCAGTTCTTGGCCGGCACGCTTCCTTCGGTTGGTGATGTAGCCTTTTTGGATCAGAAACTCCGGCCTCTCCGGATTAGTTCCATCACCTCCGAAAACAAGAAGCTACGGTCCCAGCGAACCGTGATTCCTCTTTTTACCTGGCAGTAGTCTTCCCGCCTTCAGTTCTGGCTGCTGCTGTCGTTTTAAAGTCTCATTTTCTATGGCACTGAACGTTGATGAGAGTTTTCTTCTCACATGTACTCAGTCAATTCGTGGAAGCGTTCCTTTGCCTCAACCGAATCTATTTCTTGTAGTACTTGACTCATCTGGTTTGAACCGGAATCCGCTACGTGAGAGTTCTGCTCTCTGTCTGTGGAGAGCCGTCTCTTTGTGCTGTAGAGGCGGACTTGGGCTTTGTGACCTCTCCCATCCCCGGCAGGGCGGCAGGGCCGTTGGGTAGGGTCAGCATCTGGTGGGTGTTTGGTGAATCTAGCCGGTGCCTTAAAAGCTCGTCAGGAACCCCCCCGCCCCCCAGAGTCTTGGACTATTTTAGAACCAAACTCTAGAAGTTCTAAAGAATGCTCTAGCTCGGTGAGTCGGTACACCCACAATCCCAGCACTTGGAAGGCTGAGGCAGGAGGATGTACATTCAAGTGACAGCCTGGGCTTCTTCCATAGGGAATTGAAGGCCAACTTTCCATAACTAGACCCTGGCTAACAGGAACAAAGGAGTGGGGATGGAGCCCAGGCAGGCTATTACAGAATCACTAACCAGAATCTTTTTCCTAAGTAGCATTGTAGGCTGCTGAAGCTTGAAAGTCACCTGGGGACAGTGCACCTGGGAAAACCCCGTGTCCGCAGTATCAGCTCCAAGTGCTCATCCGGTCAAAGACCAGAGAATCTTTAGCAGCGTTGAATGTGTTCCTACCAGCTGCAATGGCTTCTTTCCAAAGGCAAAGTCTGCAAGCAAGGATTCTTAGCTCAGAAGAAGAGGACAAGCTGCAAAGAGACCGAGCTTTGGTGTCTGATTTTAAACAGCAAAAACTGGAAAAAGAGGCTCAGAAGAATTGGGACCTTTTTTACAAAAGAAACAGTACCAATTTTTTCAAGGACAGACACTGGACCACCAGAGAGTTTGAGGAGCTGAGATCATGTAGGGAGGTAGGCTGGGGTTTCTGCTGGCCCTGAGCCATCTTCATCTGGAATGGGAGCATAGAATATGTGCTCCCAGATGTGAACCTTGGCTGTCATTTCTCCGAAGCTGTCTACCGTGTTTTTTGAAACAGCATCTCTCACTAGGACCTGGGACACACAGATTAGCTTGGGCTAGATGGCCGGTAAGCCTCAGGGAGCCTTCCAAGCACTGGGATTCCAAGCACGTGTCACTGTGACTAGCTTTTTACATGAACGCCAGGACTTGAACTCAGGCCCTTATCATGGTGTGGCAAGCGCTTTACTGACTGAACTATCCTAAAGAAAATTTATAGAGCCTGTCCTATTTGTGAAGGAGCGTTCTGTTTGGTTTCAAGTAATTTTAGCAATTTTGGTGCTGTTTAGTAGGGAAGAACTTTTAAGGTTTTCTTTTTAGATTAGTTTATTTTTATTATCTTATGTGTATAAGTGTTTTGCCTGCATGTATGTCTGCACCACATGCGTGTCTGGTTCCTGTGGAGGTGAGAAAGCTCTAGAGGGCACCAGATCCACTGGAGCTGGAATTACAGGCAGTTGTCAGTTGCCATATGGATGTAGGCAATTGAACCTGGCTCCTCTGGAGAGGCAGCACGTGCTCTTAACCACAAAGCCATCTCTCCAGCCTCTTAATGTTATTTTCTGCTTACTTTAAAGCTAATCTGAAAGTTGGAAATATTAAAGATTCAGAGTAAACTTTAGCGACAGATTGAGACTACTTACTTATAGTAGTTAATAGTAGCAATCAACCATTTCTAAGAATCCTACATACATTCTCCTATTTAAGCTTTATAGCGGATCTATGAAGTCCATTAGTATTCTCATTTGTAGAAAAATTTGGAGGCTCAAAGCTGTAGAAATAGTTGCCCAAGGACTGAATACAGAGGCAAAGAAGAGTTGGGATTTGAGGCAGAAGGCTAGCCCCAGAGTGTCTGCACTGTGCTCATGCTGGTTTAATTCTTGTAGTTGTTGTTCTTATTACTGAACTGCCTAGTTTGAGGTCATTATAAGTGAGGTACCAGTATTAGCTTTTCCTTACTGGTTCTGTTACTTGTTATCTGCTTCATGAGGTTAGAGATGTTGTCTCTTGCCTGCCAAACCTTTTAGCTTGGTGTGTTTAATGTCCTGTCAATGTTTTGTGTTTTCATTCCTCAGTATGAAGGTCAAAAATTGGTTTTGTTGGAAGCTGGATGTGGAGTTGGGAACTGTTTATTCCCACTGTTGGAAGAAGATGTGAATATCTTTGCCTATGCCTGTGACTTTTCTCCAAGGGCAGTTGACTATGTTAAGGTTGGTGCACCATATATTATTCTTTTGTTTCTGTCCTTGGCCCGTTTGTCTAATTCCAGTCCTTTTATAGCACTTAGCAGCTATGATCACCATGCATGGCATTTTCTTTTGAATGTATGTATGAAAGCATTTTGATTCAAAGCAAAGCAAGAAAAATACTGAACAGTGCCTTTATACTTCATTCATATCAGTTGCTTTATAGATTTGTCTCTGATTGTTTGCATTTATAAATCAGGTTAATGTGACCAGTATTGCACATGTGATTCTCAAAACTCATGCGCAGTCCTCTGTGACAAATAGTAGAGGAAATAAAATTCCTCAGAAGAAAAGTGTGAATATTTAAATTTTAATAGCTAATATCATGTTTCCTTTTAAAAATGTTATGCGCTGTGTGTGTGTGTGTGTGTGTGTGTGTGTGTGTATTTTTGAGGGGTGGTGGTTTCAAGACAGTGTTTCTCTGTGTAGCTCTGTCTGTCCTGGAACTCACTCTGTAAACCAGGGTGGCCTCAGACTCAGAGATCTTCCTACCTCTGATGGGATTAAAGGCGTGTGCCATCACTGCCCAGCTGTCAGTTGATGTAAAAGGCACTCTTTCCTCTGTTTCCTCAATATTTTTTGATTTTGCCAATCATTGAGAAAAATAATGTCTCAGTATTTTATTTTTCTTATTACCAGAGATATTAAAGATTGAAATATGCAAATATAAATACCTTTTCTTCTGCCATGAACTCCTTTCTTCTACATGTATTTATTGAGAGCTTACTGGGACAATCCTTTTGCAAGGGTGCACAGATGAACTCCCCAAGGTAGCAGTTGCTTGGCTTGGAGGACCGTCTCTCTGAACATCTAATTTATTCATTTAAAAACTGACTTTTGTGTCAGGTGGTTGTCGCACACACCTTTAATCCCAGCACTCGGGAGGCTGAGGCGGGCGGATCTCTGAGTTTAAGGCCAGCGTGGTCCTACAGAGTGAGTTCCCGGACAGCCAGGGCTACACAGAGAAACCCTATTTCAAAGATTAAAAAAAATGCCTTTCGCAGGACAGAAGATTCAGTTCAGTAGTTTAAAGTGCTTACTGCTCTCATAGAGAATCTGGGTTTGATTCCCAGCACCCTCATCTGGTGGCTAACAACTGACTGTGTGAGACCCTCATCCCTTATTCTCAAAGGGACGAGAAGGAATTTCCTAGCAGAATGTTTTAAAATTAGAAACCCCAGACTAGCTTCATGTTCCCAGAAAGTGGCCTCCCCCCACACACACACCCGGGGAAATTCCAAAGCATAAGGACCCGACCACCTGGTAGAGGCTGACAAAGATGGCCTGACTCAGGGGCAGGGTGGCCTTGCTCTGAAAACAAAGAACAAGCTAACAACGGATGGGAGAGAAAGCAAAGACCTGCTAAACCCCCCTGACTTCCCAGAAGGGCTGCTTGTGATTTATGCCTTTGAAAAGGCTAACCCCACAAAGGAACACTTAACTCCTCTCTCTACCTCGCTGTGGTGGGGTGTTGGAGACGGAGGTTCCAAGCTAGCTCGCAATAAAACCTTGCTTTTTGCAGTCTGGTCTTCTCTGATTTCTAGTGGTCTCTCTGGAGGTCGTAATCTGGGCACAACTCTAACTCTACTTCCAGTGGATTCAGTGCCATCTGGCCTCCAAGGGCACCTGTACTCACCTGTACATACAGAAACATAAATAAAAATAAATGAATCCTTTTTTTAATACTAAATATTCTCACCCAGTAGCTTTACGTATTAATTTATTCAGGTCCCTGTTTACATGATTAAAAAAAGGTTATTTCCTTCCTTTATAATACTCATACATGTGCTGGAGCCTATCAATCAACTGTGCCAGGCGTGTACTTGTTAGAAAGTATACTAGGTTAGGATCATTAGTCTTTTATCTCTAGAGAAGCGGGCCTCTGAGATGCTTGGGTTTTTTTTTTCCCCATTTATTTATTTATTAAAGATTTCTGTCTCTTCCCCTCCACCGCCTCCCATTTCCCTCCCCCTCCCCCAATCAAGTTCCCCTCCCTTGTCAGCATATAGAGCTATCAGGGTTCCCTGCCCTGTGGGAAGTCCAAGGACTGAGATGCTTGTTTTTAACTAAGTGATAGACTATATTCTGCCTTCAGTTAAAAACAGTTTGCTGAAATACTACCTTGCTCCCTGTAGCAGTGTCAAATATTACTTCCCCAGTAACAAGTGGCCAGTCTATGT